ACCAGTACTATGGTTTATTCAAACTGTCTTTACCGAACAGTACTAGTACTATAGACTATATTTACCGTTTAAACTGTATTTGCCCGACAGTGCCAGTACTAAAGACTATATTTACCGATTAAACTGTATTTGCCCGACAGTGCCATTACTATGGACTGTATTTACCGCTTTAAACTGTATTTGCCCAGCACTGCGAGTACTATAGACTATATTTACCGCTTTAAACTGTATTTGCCGGACAGTGCCAGTACTATAGACTATATTTACCGCTTTAAACTGTATTTGCCCAAGAGGGCAAGTACTATAGGTGATATTTACTGCTTTAACTGTATTTGCCCGACTGTGCCAGTACTATGGACTATATTTACCGCTTTAATCTGTATTTGCCAAACACTGCGAGTACTATAGATTATATTTACCGCTTTAAACTGTATTTTCCCGAGAGTGCCAGTACTATAGACAATATTTCCCGCGTTAAACTGTATTTGCCCGACAGTGCCAGTATTTTGGACTATATTTACCGCCTTAAACTGTATTTGCCGGACAGTGCCAGTATTATGGACTATATTTACCGCCTTAAACTGTATTTGCCGGACAGTGCCAGTATTTTGGACTATATTTACCGCCTTAAACTGTATTTGCCCGAGATTGCCAGTACTATAGACTATATTTACCGCCTTAAACTGTATTTGCCGGACAGTGCCAGTATTATTTACTATATTTACCGCGTAAAACTGTATTTGCCCGAGATTGACAGTACTATAGATTTATTTACCGCTTTAAACTGTATTTGCCGGAAAGGGCCAGTATTATAGACTATATTTATCGCTTTAAACTGTATTTGCTCGACAGTGCCAGTGCTATAGACTATATTTACCGATTAAACTGTATTTGCCCGACAGTGCCATTACTATGGACTATATTTACTGCTTTAATCTGTATTTGCCAAGTACTGCGAGTACTATAGATTATATTTACCGTTTTAAACTGTATTTGCTAGACAGTGCCAGTACTATAGACGAGAATTACAGCTTTAACTGTAATTGCCCGACAGTGCCAGTACTATGGACTATATTTACCGCTTTCAACTGTATTTGCCCGACAGGACCAGTACTATGGTTTATTCAAACTGTCTTTACCGAACAGTACTAGTACTATAGACTATATTTACCGTTTAAACTGTATTTGCCCGACAGTGCCAGTACTAAAGACTATATTTACCGATTAAACTGTATTTGCCCGACAGTGCCATTACTATGGACTGTATTTACCGCTTTAAACTGTATTTGCCCAGCACTGCGAGTACTATAGACTATATTTACCGCTTTAAACTGTATTTGCCGGACAGTGCCAGTACTATAGACTATATTTACCGCTTTAAACTGTATTTGCCCAAGAGGGCAAGTACTATAGGTGATATTTACTGCTTTAACTGTATTTGCCCGACTGTGCCAGTACTATGGACTATATTTACCGCTTTAATCTGTATTTGCCAAACACTGCGAGTACTATAGATTATATTTACCGCTTTAAACTGTATTTTCCCGAGAGTGCCAGTACTATAGACAATATTTCCCGCGTTAAACTGTATTTGCCCGACAGTGCCAGTATTTTGGACTATATTTACCGCCTTAAACTGTATTTGCCGGACAGTGCCAGTATTATGGACTATATTTACCGCCTTAAACTGTATTTGCCGGACAGTGCCAGTATTTTGGACTATATTTACCGTCTTAAACTGTATTTGCCCGAGATTGCCAGTACTATAGACTATATTTACCGCCTTAAACTGTATTTGCCGGACAGTGCCAGTATTATTTACTATATTTACCGCGTAAAACTGTATTTGCCCGAGATTGACAGTACTATAGGCTTTATTTACCGCTTTAAACTGTATTTGCCGGACAGTGCCAGTATTATAGACTATATTTACCGCCTTAAACTGTATTTGCCCGGCAGTGCCAGTATTATAGACTATATTTTCCGCGTTAAACTGTATTTGCCGGACAGTGCCAGTATTATTGACTATATTTTTCGTGTTAAACTGTATTTGCAAGACAGTGCCAGTGCTATAAATTATATTTACCGCTTTAAACTGTATTTGCTCGACAGTGCCAGTGCTATAGACTGTATGTACCGCGTTAAACTGTATTTGCCGGACAGTGTCAGTATTATAGACTATATTTTCCGCGTTAAACTCTATTTGCCCGAGATTGCCAGTACTATGGACTATATTTACCGCCTTAAACTGTATTTGCCGGAAAGGGCCAGTATTATAGACTATATTTATCGCTTTAAACTGTATTTGCTCGACAGTGCCAGTGCTATAGACTATATTTACCGATTAAACTGTATTTGCCCGACAGTGCCATTACTATGGACTATATTTACTGCTTTAATCTGTATTTGCCAAGTACTGCGAGTACTATAGATTATATTTACCGTTTTAAACTGTATTTGCTAGACAGTGCCAGTACTATATACTATATTTACCGCTTTAAACTGTATTTGCCCAAGAGGGCAAGTACTATAGGTGATATTTACTGCTTTAACTGTATTTGCCCGACAGTGCCAGTACTATGGACTATATTTACCGCTTTCAACTGTATTTGCCCGACAGGACCAGTACTATGGTTTATTCAAACTGTCTTTACCGAACAGTACTAGTACTATAGACTATATTTACCGTTTAAACTGTATTTGCCCGACAGTGCCAGTACTAAAGACTATATTTACCGATTAAACTGTATTTGCCCGACAGTGCCATTACTATGGACTGTATTTACCGCTTTAAACTGTATTTGCCCAGCACTGCGAGTACTATAGACTATATTTACCGCTTTAAACTGTATTTGCCGGACAGTGCCAGTACTATAGACTATATTTACCGCTTTAAACTGTATTTGCCCAAGAGGGCAAGTACTATAGGTGATATTTACTGCTTTAACTGTATTTGCCCGACTGTGCCAGTACTATGGACTATATTTACCGCTTTAATCTGTATTTGCCAAACACTGCGAGTACTATAGATTATATTTACCGCTTTAAACTGTATTTTCCCGAGAGTGCCAGTACTATAGACAATATTTCCCGCGTTAAACTGTATTTGCCCGACAGTGCCAGTATTTTGGACTATATTTACCGCCTTAAACTGTATTTGCCGGACAGTGCCAGTATTATGGACTATATTTACCGCCTTAAACTGTATTTGCCGGACAGTGCCAGTATTTTGGACTATATTTACCGCCTTAAACTGTATTTGCCCGAGATTGCCAGTACTATAGACTATATTTACCGCCTTAAACTGTATTTGCCGGACAGTGCCAGTATTATTTACTATATTTACCGCGTAAAACTGTATTTGCCCGAGATTGACAGTACTATAGACTTTATTTACCGCTTTAAACTGTATTTGCCGGACAGTGCCAGTATTATAGACTATATTTACCGCCTTAAACTGTATTTGCCCGGCAGTGCCAGTATTATAGACTATATTTTCCGCGTTAAACTGTATTTGCCGGACAGTGCCAGTATTATTGACTATATTTTTCGTGTTAAACTGTATTTGCAAGACAGTGCCAGTGCTATAAATTATATTTACCGCTTTAAACTGTATTTGCTCGACAGTGCCAGTGCTATAGACTGTATGTACCGCGTTAAACTGTATTTGCCGGACAGTGTCAGTATTATAGACTATATTTTCCGCGTTAAACTGTATTTGCAAGACAGTGCCAGTGCTATAAATTATATTTACCGCTTTAAACTGTATTTGCTCGACAGTGCCAGTATTATAGACTATATTTACCGCGTTAAACAGTATTTGCCGGACAGTAGCAGTATTATAGACTATATTTACAGCGGTAAACTGTATTTGCTAGACAGTGCCAGTGCTATAGACTATATTTACCGCTTTAAACTGTATTTGCTAGACAGTGCCAGTGCTGTAGACTATATTTACCGCTTTAAAGTGTATTTGCCCGACAGTGCCAGTATTATAGACTATATTTACAGCGGTAAACTGTATTTGCTAGACAGTGCCAGTGCTATAGACTATATTTACCGCTTTAAACTGTATTTGCCGGACAGTACCAGTATTATAGACTATATTTACAGCGGTAAACTGTATTTGCTAGACAGTGCCAGTGCTATAGACTATATTTACCGCTTTAAACTGTATTTGCCCGACAGTGCCAATATTATAGACTATATTTACAGCGGTAAACTGTATTTGCTAGACAGTGCCAGTGCTATAGACTATATTTGCCGCTTTAAACTGTATTTGCTAGACAGTGCCAGTGCTGTAGACTATATTTACCGCTTTAAACTGTATTTGCCCGACAGTGCCAGTATTATAGACTATATTTACAGCGGTAAACTGTATTTGCTAGACAGTGCCAGTGCTATAGACTATATTTACCGCTTTAAACTGTATTTGCCGGACACTGCCAGTATTATAGACTATATTTACAGCGGTAAACTGTATTTGCTAGACAGTGCCAGTGCTATAGACTATATTTACCGCTTTAAACTGTATTTGCCGGACAGTGCCAGTATTATTGACTATATTTTCCGTGTTAAACTGTATTTGCTAGACAGTGCCAGTGCTATAGACTATATTTACCGCTTTAAACTGTATTTGCCGGACAGTGCCAGTATTATTGACTATATTTTCCGTGTTAAACTGTATTTGCTAGACAGTGCCAGTGCTATAGACTATATTTACCGCTTTAAACTGTAGTTGCCCGACAGTACCAACACTCACGCTCACAGGCAGTGCAGGCTCTGGTAAGCTGTGGGTCAGTTGTACGGAGTTTGACCAGCTTTCGGTAATCCTAGCCTGAGCCCTACTGATTACGGATGGCTTCAGTGCCGCTCTCCGCATCACAATGAAGACGAAGTCATACTATTAGCCATTGATAGGAGGTTCGCTTCATAATTTATGACATCCCTGTCATTTTACTTAGTTTCCTCACACACGCACGGCTGTTCTGTGTTCCTCCCCCTGCTAGATCGTCGCAGCTGATAGCAGTAGGCAGACAATCATCGCACAGTGACCGCTCGTCCCTGGGGTCTCATGTACTCAGCTGTACACAACGCCGGCTTTACTACTCGTCTTTCATTGACTGACTTCACTCCTCACTCGTCATCTACCCGGAAATGCTTGTACCCGAGTCTCATGTGCAGGTTGACCAACTAGTGACTCTCGTCAGAGAGATATTGTAAAGGGCAGGGTTTCATTTGATAGCGATTGTGCGTCTGTGTTCGAATCCGTGTCACTGGATGGCCGCTACTCAGTGACGATAACATATCGTTTTAAAACAGGGCGCCTCTTCCTCGCTGTTACGTGAGGCCCCATACATATTTGATCAGCATTCTATCTAGCTGGTAGGTGAGCATCGGAACCACTCGTCAAACGCCGGCGCCCACCTGGCTCAGGTAGAAGCAGACGACATTCAGCGCAGACGACACAATGCTTGGTTTGACACTTGTGGCCTCCACGCCGAAGAAAGCCGGTGACACGGGTAGCTGGCTCCAACCCCACTTGGAGTAGATAAAGGATGGGTTGACGGTAAGATCAAAGCTTGTACTCGAGAAAACTCTTTTCCGTCAGTTAAACAAGCAGTGATGTTGAAGTATTATTGATCCGGATTTGTGGAAAATTCAATATACTGGAAAGTTCGCCTATGGTGACATTTAACCGTATTTGGTAAGTATGTGTGTGTACATATCAGTACTGCAAATGGTCGTGCGTCTTCAATGGTTCGATCTCTGGATCTTACATGTGTTGGAAACAAGGATGTTTTCACTCCGGCGTGGTGATCTCGCGACCCCCTTTTCAGGTATTTGTGTATATTGTGTTGTATTAAAGACGTATGAAAAATGGCAGATTATCGCCATCGACTCACATAACCACAATCAGACTATGGATTACATTGTTGCGAAAACTGTCGCCCATGATATTTTTAGGACCAGAATTTATTTATAAACGTGTCTATAACAATGATTTGTCTGAAGCGCATTTCTGTTGGTGAATGTTTAATCGAGTCAATACACTGTATCCGTGTTTTGATTATTATACCTGTTTCAATGACAAAGCGGTCAGCGTGTAATTTATACAAATCTTCCACTGTCGTCACTCGCAGATACATACAGTGCACGATGTTGTGCCAGCAGACCTACTGCTGTATATGGATGGCGACGTCACGGAAGCCGTTGACAGTTGCGTCACTTAAAATAATTAATTATTTATACCAAGCATATAGTATACCATGATCACCACTTTCCCCTAAGGTATTTGGCATGAAATTACAAAGCTCATGTGAGGTCATATTGCAAGTAAAATATTGATACTGCAAGCATTCCATAAGCACAGCATTAGCTGACACTAAAACTTCGCCATTTTAGGTTTCAAAACGTTAAAGATTCCTGGTTATGTCTTTAACCGATACATACCCTATTTTATTGAAGTTTTTATTTCATAAACTGTGTTGAAATACAACTGTTTTTGTGAAGTCTACTTATTTATTGACACCAGAACGTGACCATGTGATTACACAAGGTAGGTGACCTTGTTACCGTTTTTATATGCACCCGTATATTTACACTGCTGAACTAGAAATGATTACACAGCAACCCAACTATATAATGAAACTTGCTGAGTCACAAATATTAAAAAACAAAAAACAAATCTTGTCAGAAATGCATTTGTTATGATCAGTAAATATGTTCTCTTGGCAAACATTCTACCATTGATATCAGATCATGCATGACTTTGAACCGCGGAGTATAAATTGCCCCCTTATATACCCGATGAACCCCCGCCTTTGCGGCCTCACAGACTTGCCCCCAAAGACGCCCACGTTGACCCCGTAACCCGGTATGCGTGAGAGAATACCCTGACATAACCAAACAGACCCCTTTCTATCCTTACCCTTAACTGCAACGTGTCTTGGTAAGTCTAGCCCCTTGAACACATGTTAAGGTAAAAAAGGGGAGGCTTTGTATCGCCCGAAGAACGTCTTAGCTCTGGTATGGTCTCTCGATGGAAGCTCCGGGAGCACCTGTTCACTGTTATTAGACGCAACATTGTAAATCAATGTTTGAGTAACTCTGTGGTTTTATATTCATGATCATTTTAAAAGTGGTTTTGACATTATATTGCCAACAGGGTCTTAATGACACTGTGTGGGGTGGCCCAGTGGTACAAAGTGTGCTGGTTACATCAAAGACCCGGGTTCGATTGCCCACATGGGTACAGTGTGTGAAACCTATTGTTGAGTGTCCTCGCCGTGATATGTCTACAATCGGTCTAAACCATTACTCTCTCATTTATTAACGTTATGGAACACGTGAAAGCAGGTAATCCACTGGTGATCCCAGAAGGCATTCACGCGTCTGTACTGACTGACTCACTCACCAACACACTCACTCACTCACTCTCCTACCCTCACTCACTCACCCATCACTCATTCTCCTATCCACTCAACCACTGAACCAAATACCACCCATTCACTCACCTACCAACTCACTCTCCCACCCTCACTCACTCATCCACCAACCCACTCACTCAACCACTCAACCAAATACCCCCAACCCCCCACCAACTCACTCACCCACCCATCCATCCATCACTCATTCTCCTACCCACTCAACCACAGAACCAAATACCACCCACTCACTCACCAAACCAACTCACCAAACCAACTCACCCACTCACTCACCCACCAACTCACCCACTCACTCACCCACTCACCCGCTACCTGTTCCACAGACAGGGAAAGCTCCACAGACACATGAGAAAATAACCTCCCAATAACGTTACATGTAATTCAATCCTGAGTTCAAATCCCACTATTGACCGGAGATTTTTCCGTGCAAGGAAAGCGACCAGGACATTATTGGCCATTGTTGTCTGAAATTGGACACAAATGAACTCCTGCGCTTGACGTATGAGTTATTTGTGGCTCTGGTTAAGACACAACAATCCCTGTGTATCTCACAAGAAACGTCTTACATAGGACGAACAGATCACTCCCGAGCATGCGCAGTCGTATCACGGTAACCTAAATAATCCAGTTTTGTTGTGCAATCTCAACTATTTTGAATACTTTCACCAAAAGACAAATCTGAAGCGTCTCCAAGGACCCATGTGCTTATACCCTTAGACATAAAACGCTAATCGCCATTGCCTCGAGTAGCCCTATGGTTGTTCTGCGGATGTAAATCCGGCGCTATAAAATTGTAATAAACTAGGCGAGATTCCTGTTTGTTATCGACAGTCACGACTTGGCTTTTGTTACTGGGATGAAGGAAAGCATTCTTTAGGAGCATGTTGAGGATTCGATCATGTGAAGTAAATAGTTTGTCGAATTATTTATTTGGAAGCGCATGATACCATTCCTTTTAACGTTATCTTTTTCAACTACATTTCCGTCTTATGTCGAGTGTGACCCACTAGCATTTCATTTTCGAGGATGCTAAGTGCACTCTCGTGTTTCCAGCTCATCTTGGTGCAAAGTAGAGCTCGACTAGCCTAGGCGTTACCAAATGTACCATTTATCATACATGTACAGCCTTCTGATGTCGTCTAAGGGCGCCGCAATATTCGCTGTGCTGAGTTGCGTCCCTTGGCACGCCGGAAACCTATTATTTTGGTTCGAATCCCTGCTCGACCCAATAATGTTTCTAGGTTTGCCAGCACCATACCAGAGCTCGTGGGTTTCATTGAAGTGGTAAAAGGCTGAGACCTGCATCACTAGGGGCTTTCCTCGCACGGCGTGATATAACTTGAATATTGTTGAAAGCGGCGTTAAACCAAACTCACTCGCTCTGATGTGTCCCCCTGAACGCTTTCCTTTATAGCATACACGTGTGTAGATACAGTCATTTGCATGATACATTGCCTTGATTGCTAAAGAGCTAAATTGTCATCGTTGATGTTTGAAGACTTCACGGTGTTATTGTTTTCGCGGTGTCATCACTGATTTTATTAATCCACTCGAATAATCAATCATTCCCGCGATTTGCCTTGTACGCCCCGTGGAATCTGTTTCGTTGGATAATCGAGACTAGTTACTCTCTGTAACATAATTTATATTCTGATAACATTTTCTTTGTAACGACAAATTCTAGTACTTCGCACCCTCACTTCTCTGAGTAAGGCACCTAATCGCCATTACACAAAGATAGCGATCATCCTCAAATCACCGTTGCTATTGTTTACATTGTCATCATTGGCCCCGATGCTGTGGATTGTTTTGATTTAACATTGTCACCACTGACACCACTGACCCAACTGGCTATGACTACATCGTCACCACAGACGCCCATGGCTATTTTTTACATTGTCACCACTGACCCTAATGCTATTGATATTATTGTCATCACTGACCCCAATGCTATTGATATTATTGTCATCACTGACCCCGTTGCTATTGTTTGCATTGTCATCACTGACCCCGTTGCTATTGTTTGCATTGTCATCACTGACCCCGTTGCTATTGTTTGCATTGTCATCACTGACCCCGTTGCTATTGTTTGCATTGTCATCACTGACCCCGTTGCTATTGTTTGCATTGTCATCACTGACCCCGTTGCTATTGTTTGCATTGTCATCACTGACCCCGTTGCTGCTGTTTGAATTGTCATCACTGACCCCAATGCTATTGATATTGTTGTTATCACTGACCCCGTTGCTATTGTTTGCATTGCCATCACTGACCCCGTTGCTGCTGTTTGCATTGTCATCACTGACCCCAATGCTATTGATATTATTATTATCACTGACCCCGTTGCTATTGTTTGCATTGTCATCACTGACCCCAATGCTATTGTTTGCATTGCCATCACTGACCCCGTTGCTGCTGTTTGCATTGCCATCACTGACCCCGTTGCTGCTGTTTGCATTGTCCTTACTGACCCCGTTATTGCTGTTTGCATTGTCATTACTGACACCGTTGTTGCTGTTTGCATTGTCATTACTGACCCTGTTGCTATTGTTTGCATTGTCATTACTGACCCCGTTGTTGCTGTTTGCATTGTCATTACTGACCCCATTGCTATTGTTTGCATTGTCCTTACTGACCCCGTTGCTGCTGATGCATTGCCATCACTGACCCCGTTGCTGCTGTTTGCATTGTCATCACTGACCCCGTTGCTGTTGTTTGCATTGTCATTACTGACCCCGTTGCTGCTGTTTGCATTGTCATCACTGACCCCATTGCTATTGTTTGCATTGTCATTACTGACCCCGTTGTTGCTGTTTACATTGTCATTACTGACCCCGTTGTTGCTGTTTACATTGTCATTACTGACCCCGTTGCTATTGTTGCATTGTCATTACTGACCCCGTTGCCGCTGTTTGCATTGTCATCACTGACCCCGTTGCTATTGTTTGCATTGTCATTACTGACCCCGTTGTTTGCTGATTGCATTGTCATCACTGACCCCGTTGCTATTGTTTGCATTGTCATCACTGATCCCATTGCTATTGTTTGCATTGTCATTACTGACCCCGTTGTTGCTGTTTGCATTGTCATTACTGACCCCGTTGCTGCTGTTTGCATTGCCATCACTGACCCCGTTGCTGCTGTTTGCATTGTCATCACTGACCCCGTTGCTGTTGTTTGCATTGTCATTTCTGACCCCGTTGCTATTGTTTGCATTGACATTACTGACCCCGTTGTTTGCTGTTTGCATTGTCATCACTGACCCCGTTGCTATTGTTTGCATTGTCATCACTGACCCCATTGCTATTGTTTGCATTGTCATCACTGACCCCATTGCTGTTGTTTGCATTGCCATCACTGACCCCGTTGCTGCTGTTTGCATTGTCATCACTGACCCCATTGCTATTGTTTGCATTGTCATCACTGACCCCGTTGCTGTTGTTTGCATTGCCATCACTGACCCCGTTGCTGCTGTTTGCATTGTCATCACTGACCCCATGGCTATTGTTTGCATTGTCATTACTGACCCCGTTGTTGCTGTTTGCATTGTCATTACTGACCCCGTTGCTATTGTTTGCATTGTCATTACTGACCCCGTTGTTTGCTGTTTGCATTGTCATCACTGACCCCGTTGCTATTGTTTGCATTGTCATCACTGACCCCATTGCTATTGTTTGCATTGTCATCACTGACCCCGTTGCTGTTGTTTGCATTGCCATCACTGACCCCGTTGCTGTTGTTTGCATTGTCATCACTGACCCCGTTGCTATTGTTTGCATTGTCATTACTGACCCCGTTGCTATTGTTTGCATTGTCATTACTGACCCCGTTGCTGTTGTTTGCATTGTCATCACTCACCCTGTTGCTTTTGTTTACATTGTCATTACTGACCCCGTTGCTTTTATGTGCATTGTTTTCACTGACCCCGTTGCTGTTGTTTGCATTGTCATCACTGACCCCGTTGTTGCTGTTTGCATTGTCATTACTGACCCCGTTGCTGTTGTTCGCATTGTCATCACTGACCCCATTGCTATTGTTTGCATTGTCATCACTGACCCCGTTGCTGTTGTTTGCATTGTCATAACTGACCCCGTTGCTGTTGTTCGCATTGTCATTACTGACCCCGTTGCTGCTGTTCGCATTGTCATCACTGACCCCGTTGCTGTTGTTCGTATTGTCATCACTGACCCCGTTGCTATTGTTTACATTATCACCACTGACCCCGTTGCTATTGTTTGCACTGTCATCACTGACCCCGTTGTTATTTGCACTGTCATCACTGACCCCGTTGTTGTTTGCATTGTCATCACTGACCCCGTTGCTTTTGTTCGTATTGTCATCACTGACCCCGTTACTAGTGACTTGTACCAAATGTTCCCGTGTTTTTTTAGGTGAAGAATTGACTTGCTTTTGCATGTGTTTGAGACGCGTACCGCTAGTGGGAAAGGATACGCTCACCTTTTCGTGAACACCTTGTATCATCACTATTTGGTAGTGATACATAAACACATGCTCATGATATAGTCGGATTCGTACCATCAGCCCAGCTTTTTTTATTGACTACATTATCACCACAAACCTGATTGCTATTGACTAGATTATCACCACTGAGCCCGTTCCTATTGTTTACATTGTCATCACTGACTCCTACCATTGCCATTGACTACATTGACTGTTATCATTGACCCTGCTGCTATTGGTTGTTTTCATTTTCCATTTCATTGTCTCACCATTTTGTCACTGTTTGATATTGTGGTCATCCTTAGTGTTCACTTTCACGTTTTGATTGTTCAATTGACCCTGTATTTTCATTGTCTTCTCTTGGACAAGATGCCTTGTATTACCATTGTCTTCACTGTACCTGATGCCTTGTATTATCATTGTCTTCACTGTCCCTGATGCCTTGTATTACCATTGTCTTCACTGTCCCTGATGCCTTGTATTATCATTGTCTTCACTGTACCTGATGCCTTGTATTACCATTGTCTTCACTGTACCTGATGCCTTGTATTATCATTGTCTTCACTGTCCCTGATGCCTTGTATTACCATTGTCTTCACTGTCCCTGATGCCTTGTATTATCATTGTCTTCACTGTCCCTGATGCCTTGTATTATCATTGTCTTCACTGTCCCTGATGCCTTGTATTATCATTGTCTTCACTGTCCCTGATGCCTTGTATTATCATTGTCTTCACTGTCCCTGATGCCTTGTATTATCATTGTCCTCACTGTCCGTGATGCCTTGTATTATCATTGTCTTCACTGTACCTGATGCCTTGTATTACCATTGTCTTCACTGTCCCTGATGCCTTGTTTTACCATTGTCTTCACTGTACCTGATGCCTTGTATTGCCATTGTCTTCACTGTACCTGATGCCTTGAATTGCCCTTGTCTTCACTGTACCTGATGCCTTGAATTGCCATTGTCTTCACTGTCCCTGATTCTCGGTTTTTCGGTTTTCACATTGTCTTCACTGTCTCTGATGTCTTGTATTACCATTGTCTTCACTGTCTCTGATTCTGTGTTTTCACATTGTCTTCACTGTCCCTGATTCTGTGTTTTCACATTGTCTTCACTGTCTCTGATGCCTTGTATTACCATTGTCTTCACTGTCCCTAATTTTTTTGTTTTCACATTTCTTCACTGTCCCTGATGTCTTGTATTACCATTGTCTTCACTGTCTCTGATGCCGTGTATTATCATTGTCTTCACTGTCCCTGATTCTGTGTTTTCACATTGTCTTCACTGTCTCTGATGCCTTGTATTACCATTGGCTGCATCGCCCTACTTCCTTCTCAGCAGTTCCATTATTGCTTCAACGACTTAGCAATTTGTTACTCGAGGAGTCGTACATTTATGGTCGTACAGTACCACTGTGCACAGCATTAGAGTATTGAAGTCTATGCTCAATGGTTGAGCGTCTAGACACCGTGAGGGGTGCCATGTGTGAGACATTGTTTCTGTGCAATCATTAACTGTTAGATTAGAGCTAGCAGATGTGAGTGTGGTCCTTCATTTACTGCTGCTTGGATGACCTACTGGTAAAGTAAGCCTTTCACATCATGTTCACAAACTACCACGTGTTCTCTCAGTCACTGGCATCAAATCAACTCTGAATGTCGATACGCGAAGCTTCCCTTGTTCCCCGATGCAGCCCACCACCGTTTAACCCCTCGGTTTGTCAGAATGCACTGTGTTTGGATAGGAAGAGTATACCAACCAGCCGGCGGTTTGGTGTCTCTTTGGATACCTGCGATCTGATTGGCTGCTAAGAATGCAATCACGATCGTTTGTGTATTAAAGTGGTAGTGAAACCATTTTGAAGGAGCGAAATAGCCCCCATTAACGATGGAAATAATTGTAATTGCCGTGTTCATGTTATTGTGCACCGGTAATTGAAGCTAACTCACATCGTTTTTAGCATATGTATCACCCCTGTCTTCATCTGTCACGCTCGGGGGAAAGGCTTAAAGTGAAAAGGATAATGACCTAAGGAAAAAACCGCATTAAATAAATATCTCGTGTCATTGTTCCTTTGTTGATATGGTGTGACCCCCCCCCCCCCCCTCCACACACCTCCCATATTATGCTCTTTACTCCTGGGTAACATAACTGCCATATATCGAGAACTGTTTCATGCCCTTGTCTCACCTTCAAATCTTATATTGTCTCATTAACTGTCGAGCTCTATTTTCCAATTGTCTTAACTTTCATGTTGCGCCCCATTGCCTTAACTGTCTTTTGTATTGTCCCATTGTCTTAACGTTAGGGTTGTATTGTCCCATTGTCTTAACGTTCGGGTTGTATTGTCCCATTGTCTTAACGTTAGGGTTGTATTGTCGCCTTGTCTTAACGTTCGGGTTGTATTGTCCCAGTGACTTAACTTTCCGGTTGTATTGTCCCATTGTCTTAACGTTCGGGTTGTATTGTCGCCTTGTCTTAACGTTCGGGTTGTATTGTCCCAGTGACTTAACTTTCCGGTTGTATTGTCCCAATGTCTTAACGTTCGGGTTGTATTGTCCCAGTGACTTAACTTTCCGGTTGTATTGTCCCATTGTCTTAACGTTCGGGTTGTATTGTCGCCTTGTCTTAACGTTCGGGTTGTATTGTCCCAGTGACTTAACTTTCCGGTTGTATTGTCGCCTTGTCTTAACGTTCGGGTTGTATTGTCCCAGTGACTTAACTTTCCGGTTGTATTGTCCCAGTGACTTAGCTGTTGTATTGTCCAATTGCTTTTACTGTCCGGTTGATTTGTCCTGATGTTTTAACATTTGGACTGTCCATTGCCATGATCGCCTGGTTTGTTCCCGTCGAGTCACCACAAGTGTCACCCTGTGCATAATTCCTTTTGAATGTTCCAGAATTTATTATATCGACATTTTTAGTCAATACCCAAGGAAGAAGAGTCCATCACGTCTTCAGAAAATTATCCCTTTTGGTTACGTGAGTGCCGTGTAATTATATTTCATTGATTTTCTTTTCAGAGCTCGTCACGATCTGATGATTACAGACACGAAAAGAGTAAAATACATTTGGATCAGTATGTGAATGGAGGGCATATAACATGGTGGTCCTATGAATAGTTGCTCCACTGACCACGAAGACCGGCGGATGATGACAGATGGACAAACAAAGACTTGGGTAGGTTTGGGGGTGTACGTCATCCTCACCTATCTCTGTCTGGATTCGGTGAGGTGCGTCACGCAACAACACAGCGCCCGTATTGAGGGCGACGTCATCCTTGGTGCGTTGTTCTCCATCCACCACAAGCCCCCATCAGCTACGGCCTACTCTCGAACCTGTGGTGGGATACGGGAACACTATGGCATTCAGAGGGTTGAGACCGTCCTTATGACACTGGATGAGATCAACGACAATGACAACATTCTACCGGGCGTCATACTGGGCTGTGATATCAGGGACTCCTGCTGGTATTCAGCCATTGCTCTGGAACAGAGCATCGACTTCATCAAGGACGCCATTGCTAGCAAAACGGAGCAGAATGAGAAATCTAGCGGTGGAAATCAGTCCAGCCAGTGTAAAGATGAGAACCTGCAACCTATTGCTGGCCTCATAGGGCCTGGGTCAAGCGAAGCGAGCATACAAGTCCAGAATCTACTTCAGATCTTCAACATTCCCCAGATAGGCTACTCCGCTACAAGTGAGGATCTAAGTAACAAGCGGCATAAATATTTTCTCCGAGTTGTCCCTCCTGATAACTATCAGGCTCAGGCAATGGTGGATATTGTACGTCACTTTAACTGGACTTATATCTCAACTATAAATTCGGATGGTGAGTTAACTGTGTGTAGTGCCCCTGGTAAAGTTGATATGTTTTATTGTATTAGAATATTTGCTCTTCAACTTCTGGAACATTTTCCCTCTGCTATTGACATTAATGAAGCTTTGAAGAATTTGAATGAGGGTGTCATCGCATTATCAAATTAAGATGGTCTACGTTCATTTCTATTGCTGTGTTTTAGGGAACTACGGCGTGCGTGGCATGCGGGCATTCAAGGATAAGGCTACAGAAGTGGGTATCTGTATCGCCACCACCAACAGTGTGTCCAGCTCTGGGACTGACGAGGAGTTCGACAAGGTGATTCAAAACCTCAAGAGCAGGCCCAACGCTTCCGTAGTGGTCTGCTTCTGTGAGGGGTTGACGATCAAGGCACTGCTCAGGGCGATGGAAAGAAATGATGCTGAGGGAAAGTTCCTCTTAATAGGCAGGTTGGTCGCGTTCTGAAATTATTTCAGTGCAACTCGTTGAAAAAAAAGTCCCTTTCTTGTTTTGTAAGGGTGTCAGCAGGTCAGTATCGTGTGATCAGCAGGCATCCAGGGTTGCTCACCTATTGTCGTGCTTGTCAAAAGGCAGAATCATAAAACCATAAACGGATAGATCAGGGTGCCGTTGTACAAAATGATCTTAGTGCTAAGGTGATCGTAACTCCCATACCTTGACATAGACTTAGACAGTCGTATCACTAAGCTGCTTCATACAGCGGCACCCAGGCGTGTCGCTACTAGAAGAGGAACTAAGTTTGCACCACAAACATATTCAATTCCTTTGATAAATCTACAATCTGGTTACAGGTGACCTGTTGTCTACTGTACTGTGACAGGTACTGCCTGGAAACAGGACTCAACTACGGGAGGGGGTATAAGAGTATTTGAATGTCACATACTAATTGGAGTAAAATGGGGATGAGGGTATGGGGAACGGGGCGAGGATAGGGTGGAGTTTGGTTGGGTAAGACGAGGTGGTGATGGGGTAGATTGGGATAGGGTGAGGTGGGGATGGGGTAGGTTGAGTTTTGGTGAGGTAGGGGTGGGGTAGGAATAGAGTAGGATGGGGTAGGTTGGAGAAGGGTGAGGTAGGTATGGGATAGGGTGAGGTTGGGATAGAGTGAGGTAGGGATGGAGTAGGGTGAGGTAGGGATGGGGTAGGGTGAGGTTGGGATAGCGTGAGGTAGGGATGGGGTAGGTTGGAGAAGGGTGAGGTAGGTATGGGATAGGGTAAGGTAGGGATGGAGTAGGGTGAGGTAGGGATGGGGTAGGGTGAGGTTGGGATAGAGTGAGGTAGGGATGGGGTAGGTTGGAGAAGGGTGAGGTAGGTATGGGATAGGGTAAGGTAGGGATGGAGTAGGGTGAGGTAGGGATGGGGTAGGTTGGAGAAGGGTGAGGTAGGTATGGGATAGGGTGAGGTTGGGATAGAGTGAGGTAGGGATGTGGTAGGTTGGAGAAGGGTGAGGTAGGTATGGGATAGGGTGAGGTAGGGATGGAGTAGGGTGAGGTAGGAATGGGGGTAGGTTGGAGTAGGATGAGGTACGCTAAATAAAAAAAAATGAAAATAAAGGAATGTTCTGTGGTACTTCACCTACAATCAAGAGTTGATAGGCCTATTGGTTTGGTGGCGGTGTAGTGGTGGTGATGTGATTTACCGATACGTCCCTACTGTGTGTTTGATAGTGACGGCTGGGGTAGTCGTGGCGATGTCGTGGAGGGCTTGGAGAAGCTGGCGGCGGGAGGAATTTCCATGAGACTGTACTCGCCTCCTATCCCACGCTTCGACGACCACTATGGCAAACTGAAGCACGACAATAACACCCGTAACCCATGGTTCAAGGAATTCTGGCAGGAGCGGTTCAACTGCTACCTTCCAGGCGATGACAGTGACTCACGGAACAGTACACCCTGCACAGGTAGGTTTAAACTAACACAGTAAAGATGCCATATTTAAAGACATGTATAAAATAAAAATAAAAATCCAAATGGAACCCAGAATATTGCTTAATGTCTAGAGTTGAGGCCATCTCCACTAGGCCATCAAGTCTAGACTTAAACTGGATTATTTTTAAAATTTATTCCCAAGGTTCTGGGAGATAGACTAAAGTGGGTTATTTAGAGGACCTGGGGCATACATTACATGCCGCAGTCAGTGTTCAGGACAACACCGACAGGACAACACCGACATGGGATTAGAGTTCGGACTTTATATTATGAGACGTATCCATGAGTGTCAGTTTATGAAATTTTTTAAGTAAATAGAAATTACTTTTCATGTCCTGTGGGCCGAAGCCCTTCCATCACTCACTGTAATTCAGATACACTTGTACACGCACATCCGCTACACATTGACGCACATTGACGCCCACCCTACAGCATACAATGGCGTAGGTAGCGAAGTCCCTTTATCATATTTACAAATAGGTATTCACTACAGTGATATTACCAGCAGTAACTAACGGGTTCCCCACTGGCAGCGTTTCATACTTTTACGTCAGACTTACATGTGTCGCCCATATGCATTGTGTGGAGTTGCGCCCCCTTGCTGTGCCAGAATCCTATGATCGGGGGTTATTCGCTCCGATAAGATTTCTTTGGTTATTCGCGCAATGCCCGTGCTCGTGGGTTTCACCAAAGACGTAAAACGACCGGCGTCACTTCGGGCTTTCCACCTACACAAGCTGCCACACCTGGAAACAACTGAAACATTTATTGAAAGCGTCGTTTAAACCCAACTCACTCACACTCGCACGGGCACATCTGAAGCATGTAGCATACAAGGCACATTGTTAACGTGCATATCGATAACAGAAGATATCGATAGTTGTAATTCAATTTTGAAGCTTGTGTTTTCTGAACCACACGGATCAATTTTAGGATCGTCGCCGTTTCTTTATACATGTTAGTATGGTTTGGGATTGAGCATAAACATCCGATTTCATGTTTGCGACACGTCAGTATGCACCCCTGTGAAGTGTATACCTATTGACAAAGAAAGAAACACACCTTGTTTGCGCAGTTTAATTCTGAAAAACAACACCCCGACATTGTATTGTCAAGGCGCAGAAACGACCGCTTACGGACAGGGAGAATATCATCGGGTCTTTTCAGAAGCAGGCAAGTTATGTACCGTGTAGTGATGGTTCATCGCTCTTACATCCGACAGTAAGTTTCTTTTGTGCTGCATTGCCTTGTAAAACTCATAAATCATGTACATGCAATTAATGCTGCCATTTGATCACTGAGACATGGTTCAGATCATTGAAGGAAGATAAAGAAAGACGCTCTTGAAAACTGGTTGTATGGAAATCATTGTGTGTCCCTTAGCGGTGTAAACCATGACCACGTGACAGCAGAAATAGTCAGGAACTAAAGGCAATTAACTCTGTCAATCAATCAATATGTATTCATGGTACTGGGGAACCCATAGGCCAGTATTATTTAATATGAAGTTACATGTGCCCCGTGAAGATCCGGGTTAGGATATATCTTAGGCAGCCCATGTTACTCGTAAGAGGCGATTATGCTTGTCGTTAGAACGGTGCGCATGACGTCAATCACTGGACTGTCTGGTTTGATTATTTATAAACCGCAGTCGTATAGCTGGAATATTGCTGAGTGTGGCGTTAAACAACCAACCAACCAACCAACAAACAAACCTAAGGTAGTTTACTCGTAGTGGAGGGTATTCTTGCGACAGAAATTTAATATGAAGAATTCATCGATATCCTAGAATTCATGGCATGAAATCTGTACACTGAGGTATTTGAGTACAATTACACTGCGGTATGTTGTCGTTAATAAGTAATATTTATGAAAATGTTAAAGTTTCAATTGTTTTCTGGTATCAACATTCGTACAAATCTTTATGACTCGGTGAGACAGCAGTCTCGCGAGAACGTGAACGTGCGGCTATAACCCGTACAACGTGACACTGAGCTATTTCCATTATTAAAGTGTGAATAGGGAGCGAGTGGATAGACATGTGGTTTAACCGTTGGTTAACCGAGTTTGATTCTCCGTATGATTACCATGCATGATACTAAATCTTTGTGTCACCCACCGTCATACGTCTGGAATGATTCTTATCAAGGTCAAGGCCGCGTAAATATAAAACAATGGATCACTAAAATCAGTGATGACACCTGGTGTTTGTGAAAAGGGTAAGCATGTCCTTCCCTGCCGACAGCACCCGCCACTCACACAATTTGAGTGTGCAGTTGTTGCCCAAAACAAGTCAGTACAGCTGCATTCACCCACTGTACAATGGCTTACAATGATTTAACTGCTAACTGAATGTACGTATTGAACTTTGTAAATTTTCATCGGTCACAGATATAACATCATTCATCACACACATAGGTATAACATTGTACAGAGGGTACATATTAACATAATTAATCACGAATGGGGTATAACATTGTATATTAGACACAGATATAACATATCGGTATACTACTGTAAAGAGGACACATATATAACATGATTCATCACTCACAACTTTCTAACACAATGGCTGTACATCCACCGATATATAACACAATTTATCAGACACGGGGTTATATACACTGGCATATAGACTAACGCATAGTCTCTGAAAAAATGTAACTTTGATAGAAACAAATGACACCATTTAAATTGAAACGGAGTCCCAGTGAGATTGGAGATTCAGAAAATCTAGACTGGCTTCATTTAGGGCTGTAGCATTACAGTAAGGGCTGGGCAGAAGGGACTATTTTTATTATACGGTCCAGGGACTGTCAACGTGAGACAAGCGAACCTGGCTATAACTGACAAATATTTAACATGACCCGTCACATGGAGGTGATGTCCCAGTGTCAGACATGTGGGAAGGCAGGATTAGATCTCATGTTATTTAGACCTGCAATCTCGGACGCTTCCTCTCTGAATGGGTCAGTGACCTCCAACACAACTACCCCGCTCCAACACAATTATCGCCACTCTTGTTTGCATTATGTTGGCCTGACCACATTTCATTATTGATAGGATCTATTGTGTGTTTGTGTGTAAACCAGAGTCGGACCACGAACGCTAATTCATTCACTTTATTTGATGTTATCAGAGATCATACAGATACGTTCCCAATGTGACGTCACGCGAAGTCATGGCCGCCATGATGACATCGTCCTTGACAGATGCGCATCAATGCCATATCATAGACGGACATCCTTATAATTCTTATCAATGCGATTAGAACGCCATGATACGAGATTACGTTGAAGATATGAACACTTTATTTGAAAAGGTGGCGCTATACGCCTATTACCCGTTAAGTAGGTTTCGCTGATCACACGAGGTGCGATGAGCTTCTAGTAATCACTACGCCAACACAGGCCCGCACGTGAGCTGTTGTCCACTAATATCATATAGTGACCCTACTTCAGTCGAGATCAATGCACGACGGCAAATATCTCGGCAATCGCCGCCAAACCCAATTAAACTTTAGTGTATGTCGCCGCCCTGTGGCTTGTGAGGCTACACTGTAAAGAAGCTTCCGACATATTAGCAGTAATTTGTTTATGTAAATACTAAACTAATCAATGACGGGTCACAGCGTAATTCAATGAGAGATGGCAGCTCAAGGAGCTATCGCACGGGAGTGACACAGAGGGATTAGCATCTGTAAACACTACGGAAGAGATTGGAAATACAAATGTACTGCTATTTATATCATACCATAAACTGCCTTAATGCATATTCCTATTGGTATAGCAGCGTTACATGTTCGCTTCCCTTGACCTGAGCTGTATGGCGTCCTTTACGCTTTAAACACTTCACCAAGGTGGAGTGAATTTGTGGCCAACCCGTACGGTGGAATTGAAGGCTTACTTTCGAGAGAGAAGCGTAAAAATCCATATCGTAATCCCCACTACATCATATAAAGAAGATTTTCGGTATCACAGTTAATTAGAAAGCTCTCTTAACTATCAGAGCATCAAGATGAACCTAGAAGGATGGGACCTGCCTAGTGATGCAAGAGACCTCTGGAGAGTACGACAAGCGCCGCTGCAAGGCCACCCAATGTCTGCAATGGAACCTGTTGTTAAGAGACAGGAGATCACATTTCAGAACTTACCATCTTGAGACACGTGATTTCATTTCGCTCATTATCTTTCATCGTTATGGGCCCATTGTGCGTATCATCGTCTAGAATCTTGTGTTAAGATGTTGCCATGTATAACTGACTCGATATTATACGATATAACAACAGTTTGGCTTATGATTATAATCTATTTCTAGAGCGTTGAGTAGCCAAGAAATCGGCCATGAAGCACGGCCTGCTCGGAAGCGTTATATTTCAGCGATTCATCGTATAATACAACCTAAGTTTAGGAAATCATTAGCATTCTGCCACCATACACTCTGAAAGCAAATCCTTCGAAATTACATTTTGATGTAAAAACTAATAATGTTTTCACTGCCCCTAGGATGTTCGATTGAAATATATGAATTTTGATGAGTTGGTGCGAGTAGACGGGACTCTCAACGCGAAAGTTCGACCCAACAGACAACGGGAAACATTCGTCACGGAGTACCAGAAGAAGTGGACACACGTCTGGCAGAGGGCTTCTCCAAATATTCATCGGATCACCCACTCTTGTTCCGGTTGTACAAACAGGAATACAATCTTTTATAATCTCAGCGTATAGTCACTGCCTTCAATGCAATAACATCATTGACACTGCTGTACAAAAACAACCACCCTGATGAGAACATCCATCAACACAATGGACTTGCTTGACACTATTCTGTAGGTCTTTTAGTGAGTGAGTGAGTGTGTTGGGTTAAGCGACGCCTTGAACAGTATTCCAGTTATGTCACGGCGTGTCAGCTTAATGTGGGAGGAAAGCCCGAAGTGATGCAGGTCTCGGACGTTTAACATTTGGTGAAACCCCTGAGCACGGGTATGGTGCTGACAAACCTAGAAACATAATCAGGGCGAACTGGTATTTAAGACAGCAATCATAGGTAGGGTGGTTGCCAATTTAGGAGTTGTGCTACATAAGTAGGATGGTTGCCATGCAGGAGTTGTGCTACATAAATAGGGTGGTTGCCATGCAGGAGTTGTGCTACATAAATAGGGTGGTTGCCATGCAGGAGTTGTGCTACATAAGTAGGGTTGTTGCCTTGCAGGAGTTGTGCTACATAAATAGGGTGGTTGCCATGCAGGAGTTGTGCTACACAAGTAGGATGGTTGCCTTGCAGGAGTTGTGCTACATAAGTAGGGTGGTTGCCATGCAGGAGTTGTGCTACATAAGTAGGGTGGTTGCCATGCAGGAGTTGTGCTACATAATTAGGGTTGTTGCCTTGCAGGAGTTGTGCTACATAAGTAGGGTGGTTGCCTTGCAGGAGTTGTGCTACATAAGTAGGGTGGTTGCCATGCAGGAGTTGTGCTACATAAATAGGGAGGTTGCCATGCAGGAGTTGTGCTACATAAATAGGGTGGTTGCCATGCAGGAGTTGTGCTACATAAATAGGATGGTTGCCATGCAGGAGTTGTGCTACACAAGTAGGATGGTTGCCTTGCAGGAGTTGTGCTACATAATTAGGGTTGTTGCCTTGCAGGAGTTGTGCTACATAAGTAGGGTGGTTGCCTTGCAGGAGTTCTGCTACAGAAATAGGATGGTTGCCATGCAGGAGTTCTGCTACAGAAATAGGGTGGTTGCCTTGCAGAAGTTCTGCTACAGAAATAGGGTGGTTGCCTTGCAGGAGTTGTGCTACATAATTAGGGTTGTTGCCATGCAGGAGTTGTCCTACATAAGTAGGGTGGTTGCCTTGCAGGAGTTCTGCTACAGAAGTAGAGTGGTTGCCTTGCAGGAGTTGTGCTACATAAGTAGGGTAGTTGCCATGCAGGAGTTGTGTTACATAAGTAGGGTGGTTGCCATGTAGGAGTTGTGCTACAGAAGTAGGATGGTTGCCATGCAGGAGTTGTGCTACATAAGTAGGCTGGTTGCCATGCAGGAGTTGTGCTACATAAGTAGGCTGGTTTCCATGCAGGAGTTCTGCTACATAAATAGGATGGTTGCCAGCAGGAGTTGTGCTACATAAGTAGGGTGGTTGCCATGCAGGAGTTGTGCTACATAAGTAGGATGGTTGCCATGCAGGAGTTGTGATACATAAGTAGGCTGGTTTCCATGCAGGAGTTCTGCTACATAAATAGGATGGTTGCCATGCAGGAGTTCTGCTACAGAAGTAGGGTGGTTGCCTTGCAGGAGTTCTGCTACAGTTTAAAGCAGTAGATTGTCACCAAGGAGGAACACGTCACAGACGTTTTGATGTTTACACTGCATGTTGTGTTGCCTCGTGTACAGCAGACATGTCGACGAGCGCAGATGCCTGCCCCAGACCAGCCCCCGGTATCGCAGCCCCTGGCTGTAAGCGACCGGCCATTAAAGGCCGTAAATGTGCTTAGTTGACTGTCACTCTTAGCGCTTGGGTAATTGGAACACTATAACCAAACTAGAAGTCGATTTCTGTGGAAAGCCCACGCGAAATAGTTTGATGAGATCAATCAAATTTAGTTTGGTAGAGATTGGCTTGATTGTACCTTGGCATACTTAGAAGCAATCACGAACACTGCAGCTTATAAAACAACATGTTATAGCGGCTACAACACAAATACATTTTTACTTGTAACATTTCGATATGCACTGCGTACATCTTTCCCAGGCGATATAATTGTTACAATATGTCTTCCCATTTGATGTGATTTTCATAATGACACATTGCAGAAAGACAATTATGTTGTATTATTCTGAGATACTCATCAATCAGACCGTTGCCATGGCAACATTATCTATCATGTAACAGAATATTTCAAATTATGATGAAAATAACTGTTACATTCTTTGTCCTATTGTTTTGGTACTAGCTGGATTTCTCACTTTCAGCATATACCGGGGCCATGGGATATATGCACATTTGTTAGCTTGTTCAAGCTACAGCTGTGTGTTGAAGGATGTTTTGACACGCTGTCTCCCGAAATAACAGCGAATCGGTGTTTCTTTTGTACTTAGCCACCTGTCTGTGTACATATGTGCTGTATACGATAAGTAAGGTCATACATAGCTTTCAGGAGCGTTGGGGGTAGCCTAGTGGTAAAAGCGGTCACTCGTCGCTCGTCAGATTTGTTTGTCTTCTGTTTAACGCCGCACTCAGCAACATTCAAGCTGTATGATGGCGGCCCCATGCTTGTCGTAAGAGGCGACTAACGGGATCGGGTGGTCAGACTCTCTGACTTGGTTGATGCATGTCATCGTATAAAAACTGTGTAGATGTACGCTCATGATATCAATCACTGGATTGCCTGACCCAGACTCGATCATTTACAGACCCCCGTCATGTAACTGGAATATTGCTGATTGTGGCGTTCAACAAACAAACAAACAAACAAACAAACATACATATACAAACAAAATTGCTATTAGGGGGTAAACCCAACTCATTCACTTACTCTACCTGTATCCTTGACTGTACTTTCAGGAAGCGAGACACTCGAGGGTTCGGAACAAGACTCCAAGCTGGGGTTCGTAGTGACGGCGGTGTACACTTTGGCACACGCACTGGACCGGATGCACACCGCTATATGTGGCAGAGAGGCCCGGGGACTTTGTCCGGAGATGAAACCCATCAACGGCACAATCCTCCTCCAACACATCCTCAACGTCACCTTCCCCACGTACAGCAACGAAACCTTCTTCTTCAACAACAAAGGTGACCCTCCTGGCAGGTGCGTGCTTTGTAATCGGATATTCTGTGCAGACGCTTTTCGTCTTACTCCCTGCGTATATGAACACCTTAATTTTCGGCAGATCTCTGAATTCTCGGCACCCCCCCCCCAAAAAAAATTAATAAAATAAAACGAAAAAAAAGTAAGAAGAAAAAACAAAAAGAATAGAAAGAAAACCCGACAAAAACACAAAAGAAAACAACAACAACAACAACAACAACAACAAAACAACAAACACAAATACCCCCCCAAAAACCCAAAACAATCAACAACACCCCCCCAAAAAAACAAACAAACACAACAACAACCAAAGTATAAATCGTACAGGCCCTTACATGCTTCGATTAAGCTTCGATTAAGCTTCGATCATCATCATCATCACCATCATCATCATCATCATCATCATCATCATCATCATCATCATTATTATTATTATTATTATTATTATTATTATTATTCAACAGTGTAATCAGAACATTGTGTATCATTCCAAATTATTGAAGGTATTCCTGGACGTGTTGTTACGAAGAGACGTTTTCAGGCCGTTTATGGGTTCCCAGTCGTGCCTTAAGGGGGACTGTGTTCTACTGTTTCAGCACATTTGCAGTCTAGATTCTGACGTTTCTCTTTAATTGGTAATCATAAATGTCACATTGTTTCACGCCACATAACGGAAGGCAGCACACAAAACATAGGGTCTTAGCGATCTGATTGAAACTTGATGAGTACTCGGGATTAGTCAGAGATAAGTCACCCATTAAACATACACTGCCGGCCAAAAAAAGTATACATTTGAAAACTGCATTTTTACCAAAACTTTACAAAAGTTATAAAAACTTAACTATACTCAAAACAGTCCCCAAAACACAACCCTTATCAAATACATCACTACCGAATAACCATTTCTTGTTTGTTTCATTTCTAGCCTCCATCAAACGTGGGTGTATACTTTCTTTTGCGCGGTAGTTTACGTATGTTTGGATAAAAAGTTGGCAACAGTTTGACTTCTTTCGGTAATTTACTGTTATACCACGTGCAGATACATAATTCAGTGAGTTTAGGCTGTTGATTTGGGTTTTTTTTTTTTTGGGGGGGGGGTGGGGGGGGGAGGCGTGAAAGGTTTGCAGCTGGCGGTAATTTACCTTAACAAAAACGGAAAAGGTTCAAAGTGTATAATTGTAACTTAACCCACTACACATTCTTTCTAGATACGACATCATGAACTACCAGCGAAATCATAGCAGGGGGGACAATGCCACATACAACTACGTCACCATCGGCTCATGGATATCCGGGTCACTGGACATGCGGGAGAAGGTGTACTGGCCGGGGAAAGACCCCGAGAAACCAGTGACCTCTGTCTGCAGTCTGCCCTGTCAGCAGGGTCACGTGATGGTGAAGCAGACGGTGAGGGGTATACTTGGAACTTGCTTAACGTGTAATAGAGCCCATAACAGTTACTGCAATGGTTGAAAGTATGTTCGTGTCGTCGGAAGGTGAGGTGAAATGGGGTTTAACGTCGCGTCCAAGATTATTTCACTTATATAGCGACGTGCATGTACGTGTGTGTGTTTGTGTGGCTGCTTGTACTAGTCCGGACTGATGCCGATTTATAGTGCTAGCTAATGAGATACCATGCCGCAGTTTAACATGAATACCCCACTCAGACACAGTATACTGACTCCGAGCCGACCAGTCCTTGTTTTAGCCCCTTAATGCCGAGCGCCAGACAGGGTAACAACAAGTACCATCTTTTAACGTCTTTTGGTATGACGCGGGTTGGGATCGAACCCCGGACCTTCCGCTCCCCGGGCGGACGCTCTACCACTAGACCATGGAGGCGGTCCGTGTCGTCGGAAAGTCAAGAGCTACAGAAACGTGTGATCTGTCTGAAAGATGAACTACATATACTGTTAGTAGTATGTCCGGTTTAATATAATTACCCCCTATGGATGAAGGTGCTTTCTGGTCTTCAAGACTCCAATGTCAGAACTAGGCTGACCAGAGCCTCGCGTTAGATGATGTACGGAGCAGAAGGTTTGTATTTATCTTTCGCGCAATACATTGAAGAGTCATAGATAACTTATTCGCGAATCCAGTGATTAGAATCGTCGTACGCCCATGGGTGTGCTGACAAGGGCGGATCCAGCAGGGAGGGGTCCAAAAAATCAAGATCCTCCCTTAGATAATTTTACTGCCTACAACATTCTACATTTGATCTCAAGGGCTGTAAGATGTATTCGTTATAGTCTATAGTGTCCCGTGTCTTTCAGCAAGGGCTGTAAGATGTATTTGTTATAGTCTATAGTGTCCCGTGTCTTTCAGCGTGGGCCGTAAGATGTATTCGTTATAGTCTATAGTGTCCCGTGTCTTTCAGCAAGGGCTGTAAGATGTATTCGTTACAGTCTATAACGGCATGTGTATTTCAGCAAGGGCTGTAAGATGTATTTGTTATAGTCTATAGTGTCCCGTGTCTTTCAGCAAGGGCTGTAAGATGTATTCGTTGTAGTCTATAATGTCCCGTGTCTTTCAGCAAGGGCTGTAAGATGTATTCGTTATAGTCTATAGTGTCCCGTGTCTTTCAGCAAGGGCTGTAAGATGTATTCGTTACAGTCTATAACGGCATGTGTATTTCAGCAAGGGCTGTAAGATGTATTTGTTATAGTCTATAGTGTCCCGTGTCTTTCAGCGTGGGCCGTAAGATGTATTCGTTGTAGCCTAAAGCATCCTCTGTATTTCATAAAAGGATGAAAGGCATATTCAGTGTAGCCCATGACAGACCGGTATTTCAGCAAACGATGAACTCTGTCTGTTGTTCAAGTGTATGACGTCATTGTCTTTTTCAGCAAGGCAAAGACTGTTGCTGGGTGTGTACGCCATGTATGGGCAACAAGATTGTACGAGACAACGTCACTTGCATGGCATGTGAAATTGGCTGGAGACCTAATTTCGACCTCTCAGGTGCAGTGTTCACGTCCGTTCAATGCCATATGTCATCTGTGTGTTATTTGGCAAATAATGGGATCTTACACCAGTTTTACAAAACTATACACATGAAACTCCTCACTAAAACCAGTAACTATATAACGCACGCCAGAGAATAACCAGTTTCGATTATCCACCGAAACAGATTCATTGGGCGTTAAAGGCAAGAGAGTGACACAAAGTCCATGAATGGATAAGTATTAGTATGCATTAAAAATATAAAACGTCAACGCCAGAGAATAACCAGTTTCGATAATCCGCCGAAATAGATTCCATTTGGCGTAAAAGTCAAAATAATGGTGAATGGCGGAGATACTGTGTATTTCTATCTGTTTGAAAAGAAAAAACACTTTTGACAAGTTCTGATGTTAGTATATTACTTATCTCTCTTGACATGTGTTTCAGAATGTGAAGAGATTCCTATAGAATTCATAAGTTGGTCCGATACAGAAGCTATTGTTTCCATGGTGATGGCGTGTGTATGTATCGTCGTAACGCTGTGGGTCTTTTACGTGTTTGTGCGGCACAACGACACACCAGTGGTGAAAGCGTCGACACGGGAGCTGAGCTACATCATCCTATTGGGAACCGTCCTCGCCTACTGCTGCAACTTCGTCTTGGTAGCCAAGCCTTCAATGGCGTCGTGCAACCTCTCCCGCATCCTGCCAGGACTGGCGTTCTCACTCATCTACGGAGCGCTCGTCACTAAAACAAACAGGATCGCCCGAATTTTGGAAGGAAGTAAACGCATCATGACCAAGAAGCCGCGCTTCATGAGTGCATCGGCACAGGTTGTGATTACAGGTATTGTGATAGGTGTAGAGTGCGCTGTGATCACCGTCATGCTGATTGTTGAGCCCGCGGACGCTCACTTGGAGTACCCCAACGAGAGGGTCCGGCTGGTATGTAACACCTCAACCCTGGGGGTCATTGTGCCTCTTGGATTTGACGTCTTCCTCATCTTCATGTGTACCCTGTATGCCATCAAGACTAGGAACCTTCCTGAGAACTTTAACGAGGCTAAGTTCATTGGCTTCACTATGTACACCACCTGTGTCATCTGGCTTGGCTTCTTCCCCATCTACTTCGGCGGCGACAGCAAAGTCGTGACCACGTGCATCTCCATCACTCTGTCAGCCTCGGTGTCGCTTGTGCTCCTCTTCTTCCCAAAGGTCTATGTCATCGTTTGGTCGCCAGAACGGAACACACGTGGCGCGTTCACAACGTCACGTGACGTGCGGTGTCACATAGGATCCAAATCGCTGCCATCCTGTGACAGCGTCGACAAAAAGTAAGTTGTGTTCATCATCATTTAGTTTCATTATGTAGTTCTGAGACGTGCGATGAATCTATGTGTGCGATTCGGAAAATTCTTCCCAGACAAAAGATGAAAAATATTACCAAATATATTATCCCAATGAAACATTGAGAATAGCGTTGGCAAAAATTGACCCAAATGAAACATAGAGAGTAACATTGCCAATAGTCGCCCACTGAAACACAGAGTATGGTATGGTATGGTATGGTATGGTATGGTATGGCCTGGCCTGGTATGGTATTAAATAATTGCAGTTCCCCGATAAAACACAGGATATAGTTTAAGGAATACGCCCCTCAACGAAACAGTGTGTACAGTATAGCAAATAGTCCCCGGTGAAACTAACGCATCGTAAGAAATTTTTCGCCACTGAAACATAGAACACAGTATAGACCATTCTCTTATCCAGTGAAACATAGCATTGGACAGAGCATACCTCCTACCATACAGCATATTTTACCGGAACCGGATGAAGAATATAAAGGTTAGATTTCTGTACGATTCAGGCGCAATTAGCTCATCAAGTGGTTCGTGTGTTTGCTTCAATCGTGTCCGCTCGGGCTCACTCGTCTATGATCGCTACTGAAATATCTGTGGGGTTTTGGGGGTGTTTGTTTGAATACCGTTGAATTCCTCGACGGGACTCAAAGCAACGGCTTCTGTAACGTGATGTTCTTTATGACTGCAACATTAGTTTTATAAAACAAAACTTTCGAACAAGTTCTTTCCTTATGCGGTGAAACACTGCTACGCAATCCGAGTTCGACTGCGTACCTTATGGTTCTCAAGAAACCTAACCGGTCATACATTAAGACATTCCTGTTACGCAATACGAGTTCGACTGCGTACCTTTTGGTTCTCAAGAAACCTAACCGGTCATACATAATGTCTTATATTTCTAGTGCGTGAAAAAACCCAGAAACCATTGACGTGATGCTTTGACATGATTTCTCAAACCTCTCCTGATTGGATCACTCTATTTACAGGGAATTTAGTACTCTGTCAAGTACACACGGTGCTGCATCAGTGCTTCCGAAATGAACTGCGTAGCGGCACGATAACATCATCTCCAAATTTCTCCTAATACTAGTCCCATTTGGAGTACATCCGACCGACCCCACGATCGCGCTCGCCCAATGCTAATCAAATGACGAAGGTCATCTCCCATTCGGTGAGGCGGGCATCACAGCAAACGGCCATCTGCATAGATTGGTGCTAAGTGGTGCGTTCCCCGTTAGCTCAGTTCTAGATGGGGTTATAGCTCATACTAACTAATATTCTATCTGGCATATATGACGTGTTTAACCCCGAGGGGCATTCTGCTTGAACGTGTGCTTGTTGCCATACTTCTGAAAATGCCCATAACGAGATTCGTGTAACGTTGAAAGATTATTATTGGAAGAGTGTACTTTTGATTTGAAGATATGTAGATTTTTACCCTGGTTATGACTGAATTGTATTGATGGCATTGGCGATGATGACGTTGTGATTGATAATGATCACAGTGACGTCGAGGGTGACGACAATAACGAGTAGCGTGACGAGACACTTGAGTTCGGCTTACACTGTTAACGCACGAGGTTTTCCACGATTGTCGTGAGCGTTTACCGTGATGACGAATGGTGTTTTATATTTGTTTGTTGTTTAACGCCGCACTCAGCAACTTTACAGCTATATGACGGCGGTCTGTAAATAATCGAGTCTGGATCAGACAATCCCGTGATTGACATCATGAGCATCGATGGGAAACGATGACATGCATCAACCAAGTCAGCGAGCCTGACCACCCGAACCCGTTAGTCGCCTCTTACGACAAGCATAATCGCCTTTTACGGCAGGCATGGGTTGCTGAAGACCTATTCTACCCCTGATCTTTAGGGGTCTGACGAATGGTGAGTTGAATGAGGGTCCTTTGCGTGACACAAGTTGCATGTACACAAACTCTCAAAACTTCAGAAACCATTTCTACTATGATGAAGTGAGTGAGTGAGTGAGTATGGTTTAACGCTGCTTTGAGCAATATTCCTGCAATATCACGGCGGGGGACACCAGAAAGGGGCTTCAAACATTGTACTATGATTAATATATCAGTGACCAATACTTGGGCAATCCATGTTTCTGGACCGTTGAAGATAGGGATCGGAAAAGGGTGAAATATAGGAACACGGTGGGGGTATGATGACCAATAGAAACAGGATATGGAATAGGGTGGGGGTGGGGGGAGGACTGCGGGTAGGGCGTGGGACATAGGGGCAGAGTGGAGCGTAGGGTGAGGGAAAGGTCGGAGTAGAGTAAGGAATAGGGTAGGGGTAGGGTGAGGAAAAGGTCGGGGTAGAGTAAGGAATAGAGTAGGGGTAGGGTGAGGAAAAGGTCGGGGTAGAGTAAGGAATAGGGTAGGGGTAGGGTGAGGAAAAGGTCGGGGTAGAGTAAGGAATAGAGTAGGGGTAGGGTGAGGAAAAGGTCTGGGTTGAGTAAGGAATAGGATAGGGGTAGGGTGAGGAAAAGGTCGGGGTAGAGTAAGGAATAGAGTAGGGGTAGGGTGAGGAAAAGGTCGGGGTTGAGTAAGGCATAGGGTAGGGGTAGGGTGAGGAAAAGGTCGGGGTAGAGTAAGGAATAGGGTAGGGGTAGGGTGAGGAAAAGGTCGGGGTAGAGTAAGGAATTGGGTAGGGGTAGGGTAAGGGAAAATGGAAAGGGGAAAGGTGAGGAATAGGTTAGGGTTAGGGTGAGCGATGTGGAGTGGGCATAAGGGGTTGACAGGTGGGTGGTATGGTATTGGAGAGGGAAGGGTGAGCTCACTATTTCTGTTTTCTCTCCGTCCAGAATAAGCACACACTCTTCTTGTCCGCACAGAAAGACATTCACACACAGGCACAGACACAGGGACACACAGAAAGACACATATACATATATAATATACATATACATATATACAGACACAGACATATACATATACACAGATAAACACACAGACACACAGACCCATACACAGCTAGACAGACACAGACACAGACAGACACATATACACAAACAAACACACAGACGCACAGACCGATACACAGCCAGACAGACACAGACACAGACAGACACACAGACCCATACACAGCCAGACAGACACAGACACAGACAGACACATATACACAGACAAACACACAGACACACAGACCCATACACAGCCAGACAGACAAAGGCACTGACAGAAATATATACACAGACAAACATGCATGCACACAGACTCATACACACACAAACAGAGACACACATTAACAGACACATACACACAGGTAGACACACATTCACAGATTTATACACACAGGTAGACACACATTCACAGACAAACACACATGCACACAGACTCATACACACAGAGACAGACACAGGCACAGGTATACACACAGACACACACAGACTCACGCACACAGACAGACAGACGATGGTTCATTCAGTGCGAATGTTTTAAGTTTTTGCTTGGTCGTAGTGTATTGTTTAGTAGACCACTGTTTGACGATGCACGTGAAGGTTGGGATGGAGCAGAGTAACAGATAAGAAAATCTCACACTAGCAGCAGCAAGAGTTGTAATTGGTTTCCCAAAATATAATTCTGTGTACATTTTATATTTGGAAACTTCCTGGGAGCCCCTTTCAGATCGCAGGAGGAAACGTAATTTTTTTATAATTTATTAAATATATCCCAGTATGACACAATCATATCTTAAAGACCTTGTACCTCACTCTGTCGGGACATACAGAGTGAGTGAGTATGGTTTTACGCCGCTTTTAGCAATATTCCAGCAACATCACGGCGGGGGACACCAGAAATGGGCTTCACACATTGTACCCATGTCGGGAATCGAACCCGGGTCTTCGGCGTGACGAGCGAACGCTTTAACCACCAGGCTACCCGACCGCCCCCGGGACATACAGAACTTATAAAGCTCTGATGACGTCACACTACAGCAGCAGAAGGTTCTTCAAAGTGTTGGTAAACATCCAAGGCAGGCAATATCAACAACGCTCGGGGCGTTCCGCTGGGGTGCCCGGGACCTGATGAATATATTTCAATTCTAATACCTTGGTTTTACAATAAACGTTTCATAAACGTGCCTCCTGGTGTGACCACAATTGTGTTTGAAAATTGGTTAAAAGTAATTCTTTTTTCAACATGAAAAATACCATGACTTGAATCGAACCTGCAACCTCACATATCATTTTAAGTTTTGTAACCCACTGTTTTCCCACTGAGCTACCGGGGCAGGTGATGAGAAGTTGTTCAGTTTATCATGCCACGACTCCAGCGTATTACGTACAAGGATTTCTGAATCCTCGGTTATACCATACTCTAATCAATTGTGGAATACATTACCCATTGAACAAAGGACTATTGAAACCTTTTCTCGATTTAAATCCAGTTTAAGTACAGATAAATCTAAACACCATATTTCTTATATGTCGGAAAAACATAATACATTCAAAATGAAGATATGGTGATAGTGACTTAAAATTGATTTATTTAGAAAAAGGTTAAACGAGGATCCAAAATGCACATGTGGCATGTAAGAAATTCATATACTTTTTTCATTGTCCATATTCTAAATTAGCCAGAAACGGATTGATGCATTCACTATTGTTAGTTGTGTTGTAAAGTTTGACCTGATGCTTGTTGGCAATGCAGTTTTACCTAACCATTGGAACGAAAACGTATTTACGACTTTACATACATATATAAAGAAAAAAGGGTTTTAGTGAGCAATGTTAATGTACATACGTTTCTCTATTTCTCTTCTTTCCTTTCGGTCATTTAATGTTTTGTAAATATGCATCTATGTAAATCCATGGGATTCTAATTTGTGATACCGTGTGCCCAATCTGTGTGTTAGACACACAGACACACAAACACATGCACAGAGAAACACATTCACATAGAGAAATACATACAGACACACCCATACATACACAGACACACATACACAGACAGA